TGTGTGTTACGTTGGACAACAAACTTTTCAAGTCAACAAAATGTAACATGCTTCTCTATTACATTTTCAATACAATATATTTATTCCATTTTACTTTTTTGGCCATAACTCAACCACATCTTGCAAACTGTCTCTACGTTTTCAGTCGTTTCATGTTTTTTTTTTTGTATATACATAAATGTAAATTAAAGTTAGTTTTAATTTCAATCATTTATTTATTCAATAAGATGTTTATTTATTTAAATTTCCAAAAATGTTCATTAAAAAATATGTTAATAAGTTTTATGTTTCATATGATGAAATCCATTAAAATGGATCAAATGAATGAATAAATGAAACAATTAATCAACCAATCAATCAATCAATCAATGATCTTTTTATTCTCTTAAAAAAAGTTGAATGTCTCTGCAATTTTTTAAAATCCTTTCTTACTATCGGCCACTTTTATTGAATTCAACGTTCCTCTTTGATCATTCTCCGTCTTCAGCTAATTTGCTGAGTCTGTTCAAAAAACCACTAAAGACACAACTTTTAAATACATGCAAGTAGGCTCCTCAAAAGCAGCGGTTCGAATTGGCGCTATGTAAAAGCTTTTATTATTATTATTATATTTGAGCTTGAGATTTTTGCTATTTATATTTTAATCAATGTCATAAGAAACGTTATAGATAAGCATTCGAACAAGGATTGTATCTCTCATACAAATGTTAAACACCATTTGACCATATAAATTTTTAATATACCTCTACTATTTTATGATAATTTTTCATGACAGCCAATTCTTGAACAGACTTTTTTGGGATTCATTTTCAGTGGAGGAAAATTTTAATTAATAATAATAATTTGTCTGTAAAAACAAGTCTTGAAATAATTTCAACTTATATATAATATATTAATAGTTTGGTGTAATGTTATTTGTTTAAAACAATTTTCATTAAGTATTACATCCAATTTAGAATTAAAACGTTTTTCAAATTGTTTTTGAGACTTCACGGAGCTGTTGAAAATAGTGTTTATTGAGGCACGTAAAATATTGTCTTACGGCTGTTTCAGTGAGTGCCATCATCAGAGCACATAAATTATGATGCACGTAATATGATCGTATTAGTAGAAGTTTTAAAATATATATATATATATATATATTTATTTGTTTGTTTGTGTGTGTGTGTTTGTGCTTGCATGTTAGTGCGTTTGTGTGTGCATGTGTATGCGTTATTGTGTGTGTGTTTGGGTGTGTGTAATTTCAACCCTTCACATGAAATGAAGGCATTTTATCGTTAACTGCATTCTTAGTATTTAGAGCTTTTTAAGCTCCTATTTCTTCTTATGTGTTGGTGTTATGGTGTCTTTTTGGTGTGTATTTGATCGGTGCTTCCAAGTTAACGTGGCGTATATTTCAAATTGTGTTTTGGGTTATCTGTTTAGTTGTAATATTCTGTCTGTCTGGTTTTGACATGTCGTTTTTTTGTTCCTTGTAGCATATTTATTAATTACCTTTGAAATTATCAGCAATATGAATTATTTTTATAGATTAATGTTCTAAAATTAAATATGAACTTTTTTAGGTTTATGGAATCTATTCCATAGCTCTTTCGATAAAGATAGTTATAACAAAACAATAATATTTATAGAATTAATATTATTATCACGCTTCACATGTTTGTTTTTTGTTTGTTGGTCTGTGTCTGTCTGTCTAATTGTTTTACAATATTAGAAAATGTCACAAATTGGTTTTTGTAATTTTTCATTTATATCAATTTTTTGTGCTTATGAAATAGGAATATTTTGCATTTTAATGACAACTTATATTTATATGGAAAATTAAACACTAATTAGTGAAAGGATATTTAAATTCACAAAAATACCGTCAAATTTAAACGTGATATTTTTTCGAAAAAATATTTTTTTTCTTTTGTTAAACGTTTTTTTAACTTGAGTTTTTCAATAATTTCTTTTTTTCTTGTAATTTTTTCCCGTTATTTGTTTTTATTTTTCTCTTCATGACTAATTTTCTTATAATACCTCCTAATTATCCTAATTTACGGATAAAATATACAAAACAGCATCGTCCATATTGAAAAATAAAACAAAATTACCTGAAAGCATGAAAAGCAACTTTGCTAGCCTTAAAGAGAAGAGTGCTCCTGCGTATGAAGTAGAGTATTTTTTAACAACCGATGGTTGTAAGAGTTGCGGACGGTTGGGAAAACATTTTTTTAACAACACAGCCCCATCCAACCATTTTAATTGCAAATTCAAGAGTTTGACTAAAATATTTTCTAGCACATTTTCTTCGAGTCATGACTTAAGGCTTTCAAATATGAATTTTAAGCTGAAAAGTACAGCGCAGTTAAACTTTATCATATTTCTATAGCTAGGTTTATTTAAACAAGCTAGTGTTTCTTTAGTCTAAGATTTAATAAATATACCGTGCAATGTTGAACTGACATAATGAATCACGACAAAAGCCTGAAATAAAAACTAAAAACATCACGACACGTGTTTTAAAACTTACATGATTAATATCTGCAACGGACACGTTGGCACGTTGTTGACACGCAGTTTGCTTGTACTGCAGTGCAAATCGCAAAATTTGCATAACCGCAAATTTGGCCCGGTATGGTTAAATTAAGAGCAGTTCTTTTGGTTCGTAGCCAGCAGCTTGAAAGTTCGACTTCGGTTGTGTTTGATCCTAAGCAAAGTTCGGTTAAGTCTTTAGCAAGGTTCCAGTTTGGTTCGTTTTGTTTGAGTTCGGTTCGATTT